TGGCTTGAAATAATAGTGTCTATACTGGTATGTGGCCGTAGAAAGGAGGGTCTGGCTGTGCTTGGTAGAAATGCATGTTAAAGCATCTTCTTGCACGCGTCAACCTCAGAACGGGAAGGAACGCGTGTCTCTGCAAATGGAAATCCATGTCCTTGTAGCTTTGTTGCTGTGTTAATTTTGAAGGGGAGAATGTTTTGAAAAATAGTTAGTGCAGCCCAGCCCTAATTTCTTAGTTCTTCGCTTTGATTTTGGAGTTTCATGCCATTTGTATCGCTTTTGTTCAGTCCGTCTGTTTGGTTTGATTTATTTCTTTAGTTGGCGTCAAAAGCCATCTCCGAGTAAAGGAAGATTTTCTTCACGGTCATTCGTAGCACCTTTTCAACCATTTTTTGAGGTGGGGTCGGCGGTGTAATGTGTAAGAGACGTGATTGGTATTGTACAGATGTTGGACTCCAGTCCCATAGCCCGGTGAAAGTTCTGTTATTAACTGTTATTTCCACTGAGCATGCAGTTCACCGAACCATGGTTCAATGCCAACAGAAGAGCAACGATATGGCACAGGGGTAAAGTAATCGGCTTCAAACTCAGGAGATGTGCCGAGAAGAACCAGAATTCTCAATGAACGCCAATTCCCTAGATCAATGAGCTCACCTAACGTTGCTTCAGTGCAACCAGCCGAGGAGAAACGAATAGGACGTTGTCGGCCGTGGACAAGGGGGTACGGCGTGGTGTCCTGGTTTGATCATGCTGAACCCCAAATATGGCTATACTGTATGACGCGAGTGTCTCTAACATTCGTAACTCTCCTTGACTCACCTGGTAGGTAACTATTGTGCACGAAGTGTAGCTTCAACAGTTGGATGCCCGAGCGTTGACCGCTGAAAAGTGTAGATAACATGATTAACTGGCATGGTCATGCAAGAAACTTTGTGCGAGACTTTCCACCATACTGCCTGATGCGTTAGGTTTTAGAGTTACAATTTGCCTCGATCCAACTAACAGATAACTTAAAATAACAGTCATCACAAGTTGTAAAAAAAGCTTCTTTTCACCCGGCGTGCCTCCGGGCTCGTTGCGTATTGCACGCACCTAAGTCATATTTCTTTTAACTTATTCTAAAT